GCAGTTCTCGGGAAGGTGTCTTCCTCGCGGGGGAATGGTTACCACTGGGTTTGTGGCGATCATTTCCCCCCTTCGCCTCCTCTTTCTACTGTTCGGCTGCAGTGCAATGGTCACAATGGCGCCCCCCCTTTTGGCTGCCTTGACTTTGGCCATGCGGAGGTTTCCGGTTCCTCTCCTGGGCGCCAAAGAAGCATATCGGTGGCTCAGGGTTGCTCGCCAGGAGTAGGTTCCAAGGCTTCCAGGTCAGAAGGTGTTGCTTCAGCCGTCCCCAGTGAGCTCTCGTGGCTCCTTGCAAGCGGCGAGTGGCTTTGTGTTTTCGCGAGAAGCCTGCTTCTCATGTGCCTACTCTCACTACTTACCATGCTCAGCAAGCCCTTGGCTGGCCGCCTTCCTATACTGCATGGGATCATCCGGATTTTGGCACTCAGGGTGCCGGCTGGCGTGATGGTCCCGCTTGGCGAGGTTGTCCTACCTTCCGGAGGCAAGGAGATTGCCTCGTGTAGATTCCAAGGTCTTCAGGGTCGTAGGAACCTTCGCAAAAGCAGTAGGGGCCCCAGTCGCAAGTTGGGCTACCGGTCCTCTTGGGTGTTGTGGTTTTTGGGGGTGCTAGCGTGTCCGCAGGTGGTCTTCGGTATGCCGCAGGAGGTCATTTCCGCGGTCAGGGATCTCGATAGGCTTGCGTCTGCTCTGCCGCCTGACCCTTTCCCCACACCTGACTTAGGTCGTCGCACTTCTGCGGCTTCTGTGCTGGAGCCGGTGCTGAGGTGCTATTCGGACTGTGATGGGCATGCAGTTGTGCTTCAGTATGGTTTTTCCCACAGAGAGGTCAAAGCCCGTTTCCCACTACCACTTGCCGAGGGTAGCATGCGAGCAACGCTTGAGGCGATGTGGTCTCAGGCAGGCGAAGCACGGCTAGTGTTTACCGAGCCCCAGCTAGAGGACTGTCGTGTCTCGCTAGTGGTTGTCCCTAAGTGGATCGAGGCTTCTGCGAAGAGTGTCTATGTGTTCGATTTCGAGGCTTTCGATGGGCCCACTTTTGTGGTTTGTAGTTGGGCTGATGTAAGTTTTCTTGAGCTCGAACAGGCAGCTAATAGACATGCTGTTGGACAATGGGAAGTCTACTTGGGCCGCCAGATCACTCCTCTTGGAGATAGATCTAATATCGTAGCCGAGCCAGGTGTTGTCTTCACTTTTGTGCCAGCGGGTCAGGGGCCACCCGGCCGAATGCCCCTAGCAGGTCGTGTACCAACCGGGGTTGCCGGCGCCTCCGAGGCGCTTCCGGAAGATGCTGGATCTGACGATACAGAAACGTGGCTAGTCTTAGGTAGTCATGTCACTCGCGTTGTCTGGAATCGTGCCGGACAAGACGATTTGTATGATGTTGCGGCCTCGGCTCTCGACAGTGATAGGCGGAACCTCATTTTTGGGCGCCCGTGTAGCGACAGCCCACTGGCGGCAGGGCTCGCAATACGGGGGACAAAGATACATGGGATACTTGCCACAGTCCCTCGGCCGCCGGGCGCTTCTTCGACTGCTCAGATAGGACACTTCGCGTTTGTCGATCCCCGAGCAATCGGGTTGCAGCCCTCCTTCTTCTTTACCTCCACAGGCTGGCACGAGCTTGAGGATCTGCTCTGGCATTTAGGGTCGAGGCCACCAGCTGGTTTCGTCACTAGCCTGACTGGAGTTTTAGTTCAGGGCCATTCCTTTTTCGTAGAGGATAACTGCACTGTCGTGGTTTCCTTTATCCGCGAAGCTGGGGAATGGTCGGATGAAGATAGTTCAGCTGTGCATCTTGGCCAGGCCGCACGGAGAGTTGGCTCAGAGGACTTCGTGCCGACCGAAGTTGCATGCCGCCTTGGAGGGCGCCATCAGCGCACGCCCATCGGACTACCCGACGAGGAAGTTTTTCAGAGGGCGTTACATGAGCCTGAGTGGCCCCTCTTTGAGATGCAGCCGGACACGCGGCCAAGACTTCGTGCAAGGCCGCCGGACCCCCCACCTCCCGACTTCATAGATGGGGTTTTCCTCATAGTTGCGCCAGGATATACACAGGAAGTTGTGCAAGTGGCGCTGCGCGCTCCCTGTTCGGTTGAGGATGCCTTGAATGTAATCGCCGAGGCTAGGAGCCTTGAGAGAGCAGCCCGGTGTGGTAGCCTTGTTCCGGCTTTCCCACAACCTGACTCTGCTTTTGCGGTTATCCTCGCCTTCCCTGACTGGGCGGCCACCTTCAACTGTGTAGCTGTCGATTCCAGGGAAATTGACAATCGCCTCTTTTGCTGTGTGCTGCCGGACAGGATTAATAGGGCTTCCATTCTGCTGCAGGTGGGGATCAGCGATCGCCCTGGCCTAAGGGTCTTTGTAGCCGGCCGTCTCGCCGTGCCTCAGGAGCTCCTGCAGATTGAGCCAGGTCAAACCATTAGTGTTACCCCTCCGGGGTCAGGGCCGGCCCCTTTTCGCATCTTGGAGGATATGCTTGCAAGCAGGAGGTACTGGTGCCCGCCTTGCCCCGTCTTTGGTGGCCAGCCAGAGGACACCTTCTTGGTGCTGTCGGATGCTGGACATAGGCTGCTTCCTGTAGGACCAGATATCCCCCGTTCGGCAGAGGCATTCAGACACATCGCGGCCGAGGCCTTCAGGTATAGTATAGATAGGGTTCGAGTGATCCCTTCCTCGCCCCGGACCGAGGACTTATCGGTGCTAGGACAGGACTGTCGGGCGCTTGTCATCGCCACTGAGCGAGTATGTGGGGTGCCTGTCCCGCCAGGACGGCTCTGTTTCGCTCGCAGCGCGGTTTTCCTTGATGCCCGAGCTTTGCTCATGGATTGTCAATGGATTTTTGCCGACAATCATGTGCTTGAGGCCTCTCAGATTGCCTCTCGTTTTCAGTCTTCTGCCCCTGAGGGTTACGAGATTGTAGTGAGGGGTGGTACACAGCTCAGGGACACTAGGGGTTGGGTCATTCATGTCCGACACGGCACTCTCCTTTCCATAGAGCTGCAAGCCTCTGATGCACAATCAGATAGCTCTCCAGCCTCCGCACCAGGCGATAGCCCACACGAGGACTCTGACGGCCACGGTGATGATGGGGGCTCAGATACACCGGATGAAGGGCGGGATAATTCTGAGCGCGCTACGAGAAGCGCCGCGCGCAGTAGAACCCCTCCTAGGCATGCAGTAGCCGAGCCTCAGCGACACGGGATGCAGGATGTGGCTGGGGCTTTCTTCTCTTCTGTGAAAGCCTCCTCTGATGCTCATCGACGGGCTGATAGGGAGACGCTGATGTCCGCGCCAACTGAGTGTCACTTTGACACAGGTGCAGGCTTTTTGCAGGTCAAGTTATTGCAGTCTGATGATTGCAGCCGGCCTGCGCAGGCGGAGACATCTGAAGCTGACAGGGCAACTGTCTGGATAGGTGGAGAACGCCGCTTTATTGGTGCGGGGGATGAACCACGAGAGGCTGTCGATGACGAGCCGCCACGGATAGACCTGCAGCAGCGTGCGGATTTACAGAGGCTGACAGTCGCGCTTTTCACTCCCGACTTTCAGCTTGAAGAAGTAAGGGTTTGGCTCCCGCACCCAGTAGGTACCGACGAGGTCTTTGCCGCAGTTCAGGTCGCCAGGAGCCCCATAAGAGCTCAGCTCTACCCGTCTTTGTGTGCAGTATGGCCCCAGATCGATAGCAGATGGGCTGCGGTACTGGCCTTGCCACCTTGGGCAATGGACAGCGTTGTCGTCTGCATCGATTCGCGTACCATTGACGGCAGGTGTTTCGCAGCTGTGGCGCCAGTCCAGATCGATAGGGTTACTACTCTTCAGATTGCAGGTCTATTGATGCATGGTGGACTCGAGGTTTTCACCCCACTCTCGGCCGATCCGCTAGAGGGAGATGATACTGTGCGTCTATCCAGAGGGCTGAAGCTCACCATCTTGCCGACGGGAGAGGTACCTGCTCCGGTCCTTGACTTTGAGGCCCTCATTCTCTTCCCGCTTGCTTGGCAGGACGGACCTGCTTTCCCTGTTGAGGTGCGAGATAACTGCTACTGTGTAGTCACCGAGATCGGGCATAGGCTTTTCCGTATAGCCGCCAGGGAAGCTGGAGCATACCGCCAATCTCTAGCCCGTTTTGTGCCCTGCCCAGTCGATAGGTTGGTTATTGCCCCTGCTAGCCCTAGGGTTGATGACGCAGCGGTTGCGGGCTGGCCCTGTCGTACCGTCCTCGCAGTGGCCAGTTCCATCGGGGGACCTGCCGATGGCGAAGGTAGTCTAGTGTTTATTGACTGTCGTGCTCTTCTCCAGGGCTGGGTTATGACGTGGGCTGAGCATGGCTGGATTCATTACCCGGCTCTCGCACACGAACTGGGGGAGTTTGCGCCTCCTGGTTTGCGGGTCTTCCTTCATGGTCCCGTTGCTACAGATGGTTGGGTCAGGTTAAACGCCGGTCAGTGGCTTCTCGCGCTTTACGTGACTGATGATTGGAGGCCTGTCCGCCGAGTCAGGGCGGGTTCTCCATCCTTTTCTGCCCACAGCCCTGACTCCGCTGCGATGACCCATGCGCTTTTGTCTGTCATATTGCTTGGGGCTTGGGCATTATGCCTTGCTCGCGGTCCAGGCGTTGCTGCTTCCAGTGCTCAGCTGGATATAACTGCGCCCGGCATTCCTGATGGGGATGAGGTTGTCGACGCCGGTAGCTGGATACCTAGTGTGCCATATAGAGGCGAACGCAGACAAGATAGGAGCCATCGTCAGGGAGCCGCGCCCAGGGGCAGGCCGTTGTCCTGCCTAGTCCTCTTGTCATGGCTTCAAAGCACTGCTTCGATGCAGATCAGCGTTAATGGTAGGCAGTGGTTGTTTGAAGTAGGGGTCGAGGGTCGAGTTAACATGTGGAATGTTGTCTCACGTCATGAAGCCTGCTGTTCCAGGCCGCAACAGGACACCCCTGTACTCCCCTCCTCCTCACTTCAAGCATGGGGCCGCAAAGCTGGAGAAAACAACCACAGGAGGGCTCTGCCCACTCCGTGTCGTGCAAAGTTTAGATTTGATGCGGATATCAACATTGGTCGCACGCTCCTTGAAGAGGCCTGTCATGAGGCCCGGGGAGCGCCTTTTCTGGAAGCCAGTACTCTACTTGAAGCACTGCAAGAGCACCTACAGGCTCAGCGGAGGGGGGTCCGGATTGCTGATGCTGTCCCTCCGCCTTTCGCCTTGTCACTCGATTCCCTGATTGACCCCTCCAGTCATCTCGGGGAAGGGCGCAAGATGGAGACGGAGGTTTTCGACCTTGATGCAGGGCAGTGTGTTTTGCCCTGCTCAATGGCGGACTACTATGCGGTTGTTCAAGCCAAAACTTTTGCCGCATTGCGTGGCCCCCCGGGCGGTCTATCTCAGCCAGAGCGGTTCGAGAGTTGGGTAGCCAATGGCTGTGTGGGCAGATCGCCCGCCCCCGGGGAATGCCTTGTGATCACTGCAGATGGTTCGTACTTCCCACATATACAGGCCATAGGTTGGGCAATAGTGCTGAGTTTGCGGGGTCAGGCAACGAACTCTGTGGAGCAATTCATAGGCTGCTGTTTTGGGAGTGCCTCTGCGTTCCTTTCTGAGGATACCACCAATGCTTTTGGCGCTGAGGTTGTTGCCCTGCTGTGGGCTGCGGTAGCAGCCCTGCAACTGCCAATCGCAGGCGAGGTCCTCTTCCGTGCCGATAATCAGTCCGCGCTTCACGGCGCAGAGGGCAACTTCGACATGCCAGCATATCCGGCCTGCGTGGCCCTTCAATGCTTTCACATGGCTTTTCGTTTTCACTGCCGTCACGGAGTAAGGTACGAATATGTACCGGGTCACCAGGGGGACGCGGCTAATGAGCTGGCCGACGCTTTGGCCAAGTTCGGCGCTGTAAGAGGCATTGAAACTGCGGAGCCTTTTACTTTCCGTAGAGACTTCTGGCTTCGTGAAGGCGCTGGGGCCGCGCGATGGCTCCCGCACTTCTGCGTGTCCGTATGGAGGCCGTGGCAGCTGCCGAGGACAGATGATAATTTCTTTACCTGGGGCAAGGATGCCGCGGCTCCGAGGCTTACTGCGGCGCAGCTCATGCATCCGTTTACCCGTCCGCTTGCGGGTGTGCCCAGCAACACTGACAGTTCGGCCGTTACCTCCCGGTCCTGTGTCCTAGCAACGTTCAACGCTCTATCTCTACTTCCCCCCGACAAGGGCAGTGAGGGCAGTGCTGCTGGACTACACGGTGCCACAGGTAGGATCACGCTCCTCAATGACTCGCTTGCGCGCGCCTCTGTAGGTATAGCTGGCATACAAGAGGCGCGGACGCCGGCGGGCACGTACTGCACTAAGGATTATAGGCGGTTTAGTGCAGGCTGCACGGAGCGTAAAGGGCTGGGGGTTGAATTGTGGGTCCGCCTTGAGGATGACCTTCAGGGTAATAAAGTTGCGATCTTACATAACGATCCAACTAGGCTCATAGCCAGACTTGCTTTCGCATCCTTGCAATTGCTCGTTTTCGTTGGTCATGCCCCACACAGGGGAAGGACATGCGAGGATCGTGTTGCCTGGTGGCAGGCCACTGCAAAGCTGTGCTCCGCTGTAGGAACGGATGCGGAGTGGCTCCTTCTTATCGACGGAAATTGCAGAGTAGGCAGCCAAGTTTCTGAGCACATCGGGTCACATCATGCAGACCCTCAAGACGAGGGGGGCCAGAGTCTTCATGACTTGCTTGCGCAGTTGGGAGCCTGGCTGCCTAGTACCTTCGAAGCCTCCATGGTGGGGCCGGGAGGTACCTTCCTTCAGAAGCAGACACATTGCCTACAGCGGTGCGACTATATCGGTGTGCCACTGGGTTGGAAGAGATGGAGGATCCGGGCGGAGGTTGCGCCTGCGATTTCGGCAGGACATGCCGTCCCTGACCACTTTGCGCTCCTTACCTCGTGTGACCTGCACTTTCATAGTCCTGCCCGTAGGCAAAAGGTTAAGCGCATCGACCCTGCTGCACTACGACGACCGGAGAATGCTGACCGCATCAGCGCCATCATTGCTGCTGCCCCCCCTGTTACGTGGGATGTTAGTGTTCATGACCATGCGGCAATTGTAGTGGAGCACCTGTTTACCGGACTTTCGGCAGCATTCCCGCTTCAGGGCAGACGCATGCGCAAATCTTTCCTTTCTGAAGAAGCAGGCGTGCTGCATGCGGAGGTCGCTAGGCTAAGGCATGCCTTACGAAACAGAGCGGCCGCGCTCGATTTGGGCCGCATGAGGTGCGCTTGGCTTGCTTGGCAGGATAAAGGAATGGACTTCGATGCATTGTTTCTCGGGCCTTGGGTACGTCGGGTCAGGTTGTTCATAGCGGTTTGTGCTGATCGCATCAGCACCCTAGGTAGGGACTTGCGTAGACTCTGCCGGAGGGATAAAAGGGCCCACATTGATCAGCTTGCGGATGATGTCCAAGCGGCCGACAAAGGGGATGTGCACGTAGCCCTTAAGCGTCTGTTGCGGCCCAGGAAGTTCAGGCGACAAGGCCCCGACCCGCTGCCGAAATTGAAGCGTACTGACGGGTCCCTCTGCACTACCCCGGCAGAGATTATACAGGCCTGGCGCTCTCATTTCGCGTCGCTTGAAGGCGGTCGGGAAGTCTCGGCTGACCAGCTGGTGCAGGACTGCCTAGAATTCCAACGTCAACAGCCGGCACTAGATACCCTTGAGTGGGCGACGGTTCCCGACCTGTGGGCGCTGTCCTCTGCCTTCAGGCAGGTCGAGCCGGCCAAAGCCGGTGGCCCGGACGGGCTGCCGCCCGCTATATGCCGCAAGTTCTCATGTCAGATGGCGACTTTATTTTATCCGGTGCTGCTCAAGGCTCTGGCATACATGGCGGAGCCCATAGGGCTGAAGGGGGGCTCCCTATTTAGGATCCCGAAACCAGGGGCGCCGGATGGTAGCTCTGTCTCTTCCCATAGAGCTATCCTCGTCCAGTCGGCACTGGAGAAGGTACTTCATAAATCGGTGAGACACCTCACAGTGACGGCCCTTGATGCCAGGGCCCCCCCCCTCATGTTGGGGGGTCGTAAGGGCCTCAGTTCGGTTATGGGTTTCTTCTGCACCAGGTGTTTCTTGGAGTACGCCAAGCGGAAATCACTGCCGGCGGCGATTGTCTTCACGGACATTAGCTCCGCGTACTACGCAGTCATACGGGAGCTTATAGCAGGTGGCAGACTGCGTGGAGCCTCACTGGCCGATATAGCTGCGTCCCTGTCGCTCACTGATGAAGACTTGCAGCTGCTTCAGAGCTTTGTCGCCGATGATCCTGTTTTGAGCGACAGCGAAGGAGGCGGACTCCTTGCTGCGCTTACGCGCGAACTCCACCAGGGGACATGGTTTTTGATGCGGCAGGATAATGTCTTGGTTGCCACACAACGAGGCACCCGACCCGGCAGTAGCCTGGCCGACATCCTATACAGTCTTTTATTTACCAAGGTCCTGGACCGCAGGGGAGCCTTCGGAGACGAGTTCCAGCCTCCGCGCATCCCATGGAGCGGGGCCCGTGACTTGTCGCCGTTTGATGCGCGCAAGGCCGGCAACTCGGCGGTCCTTGCCCAGGACCTGATTTATGCGGACGACTTAGCCACCTGTCTGCTTGCGCGCACGGCAGGCGAACTCCCCACGGCGGTACAACGAGTCGCGGGGTGTAATATGGACGTGCTTGCGGGACATGGCCTCAAGACCAACCTGGGGCCTAAGAAGACAGCCTCTGTCATTGCGCCTGCCGGTCCGGGAGCGCGGGATACTAGACAGCGCGTATTCTCCGTTGCTGGGGGGCGCTTGCCTGTCCTTCGAGACAACGGCCCGGGGGTGTGGCTGCAGGCCGTGCCTTCATATAAGCACTTAGGCTCCGTGATCACGTTTGATGGCTCCTTGGTGGCTGAGGTTAAGAGCCGGCTGCATGCGGCCAGCATCTGCTTCAGAGAAGGACGCAGGGATGTCTTCTGTTCGGCACGTATCAATCTCTCTCGCCGAGTTGAACTGTTCAAGCTTCATGTTCTCACCTCGCTTTTTGCGGGGAGTGGAGCGTGGCCCTGGATGTGTGAAGCTGCCTGGAAGAAGCTGGAGGCAGGCCTTTTTAATATGGCACGGCAGCTGGTGCGGATCCCGCATGACGTGGAGCAGAACTGGACGAGACAGCAAGTGCATGCTGCTTTGGGCCTTCTCCCATTGAGCGGACAGCTGGCCGTGCAGAGGCTGCGCTTTCTCGCGCAGATTGTGAAAACAGGTCCTAATGAGGTTTTCGCTCTGTTGCAACAAGCGCCGCGGGCGATGCAGGCCTTCAGTTGTGCTGAGTCCTGGATGCAGGAGGCCCTGCAGCATTCGGGTAGCTTAGGTCCTTTCGGTTCTAAGTGGGATGCTTGGTGCGAGGTCTTTAGGCAACCAGGCAAGTGGAAGGGCATGCTGAGGCGCGCTGAGGCCTGGCACCTCGGCAAGCTGCGCGCTGAAGCGGCGCTACAGGCATTCTCCAGGCAGTACTGGGAGCGGCTTCCGGTGCCGGTCGTGGAACTGCCCTCTGCACAGCATGCTTGCATGCAATGCCGCATAGCCTTCCATAACTGCCACGCGTGGTCCGCCCACGCGGCTAAGACGCATAAGTATAAATCTCGTGCGAGACGTTTCGCGCTTGGAGCCAGATGCCAGGCTTGTGGCCTCATGCTCTTTAATAACCTGAGGTACCAGCGTCATCTGCAGGCCTCCGTTCGTTGCTGTCAGGCCATTGAAATGCGTTTCCCCGGCCTCTTTCCGGTTGTAGAAGTTCAGGGTGCCCATCCACAGAGCGTCTCGCAGGGGGGCATAGGAGTCGATCATCTCCCCCCTGTAGGCCCTACAGTTTCCTTCACTCTCCTTTCTAGACTTAGAGCGGGAGGGTTCACGTGCGCAGAGGCCATCTTCGAGGAAGTCTGTGCTGAGGTTGAACCCCTGCCGGTCCTCAGGGACACGCTCACTACCTGGATTCGTGAGCTAACGGATGAACAGGGCCGAGCCCATGCCGAAGATGCCTTGTTGGCCCTTCAGGCTGACCTCTGGTGCGATAGGGTCTCGGCGGCGCCTAGGGCCGCCCAGATTGAAGCCCCCTTTGAGCCGCTTCTGACACCTCTCCCCAGTGCATCCCCTGCTAGCGGGCCTGCGTTGCTGGTTGGGGCCGCGCCTTCAGCAGCTCGTAATGCACAGCCTATGCTGCTTTGGACTTGGGAAGGGGCTGACAACGCCCTAGAGGCGCCCACGCAATTGGGCTCATGCCAGATTTATGTGCCTGCCCCTTTTTTGGCCTCGGACTCTGTTTGGCTCCCGGCTTCGGGTCCTTTGAGGGCTCTTCGTGCACATGCCATCTGGCAAAGCAGAGCCTTGACGTGGATAGGGTTTGCCCTGCGTCTGGCCAGGGACGGCGTTAAGTGTACGCTGTTTTTCGCCTTTTCTAGGCAGAGCGGTGGCGTGATCGCCGAGTGGCTGGAAAAGACAGCCGGCTCGTCGCCGGATCCGCCGGCTCTGACCTTGTGTTTCACTGCTTGAATTCGTTTTGCTCGCGGTACGTCCTCGGAGGACTTTGCACCACCTGAATAGAATAGAATATACTATTTTGGGGGGCTCCTTATTATGATTGTAGCATAATCAACCCAAAGCCTTATTTCTAATCATTACGGCCCCTACATCAGCCTTGCCGGTTCCAGAAAACGGGGTGTTTGGACTCTCCTTAACTTTCAACACTCAACGTATCGAAAACCGCTCACCTTTTTCGCAGCGCTTCAGGTGCTTAGTCCAAGCATAGAGAAGCCGCGTCTAGGGTTTTAGGGCTGAGGGATTTAGTGCTTCGGGGGCTTACCCGCACCCGCCAACTACCCTCCATTCTGCCCTAAATACCCATAAAGTTCTCTATCAGAGGGTACTTAAACCCTAAACCCTAAACCCTTATTATTATTGTGATTAAGTTACTTGGGTGGTGCTGGTCAGGTTTCGGGGTTTACGGTTTAGGCACGAAGCGCGAAATCCCATGAGCCGCAACTGAAAAGCCTGAAACCCTCAAGCCCTAATGTAGGGCCCTACATAATTACCAATCCTATTTTGGGAGCTCCTTAGTATAACTCTAGTATATTAGACCCCAAAACCCTATTCTAATTATTAAGGCCCCTATTTTTTCTGCCCAGAATATTGGACTCCAAAACCCTATTCTAAATATTAAGGCTCCTATTTTTTCTTCCCAGGATAAGCCCGACAACCCCCCAAACGAGAGGCTTACGGAACTTTCTTCAGTCCGACGATGGATGGTGTGCAGCTCACTGCCTTGCCTTGGCAACTTCTATCTTCAGGCCACCGGCTTGAAGTCGATGTTTAGGGTTTAGGGCGCTATAATTGGGTTTAGGGTTTAGGGCCCCAATGATAGCACCCTAAACCCGAAACCCCTAAACCCCTAAACCCCTAAACCCCTAAAACCTAAACCCTAGCCTATAGAAATCCTAGAAAACCTACACCCCTGGGTCTCCCTGTGAGCGCTTTTCCTTTTTTTGATCTCTTAGGTTCCTTATAAAGGTACCCAAGACCAAAAGGGGAGCCCTTTTTAATCCTAAGTTACTGGGCACCCTAAACCCTAAACACCTAAACCCCTAAACCCCTAAAGCCTAAACACCTAAACCCGAAGCCCTAAACCCCTGAACTCTGGTTTTGCTGCTCCGGGCTCTCCCAGGCGCCTTCTACCGAGATGCTCACGTTACTTGGCGTTCTTCTGGGCTCTTAGGACTCTTGGGTTGAAGTTTTAGGGTTCAGGGGCTTTCTACATGGGGCTTTCCGAAAATGGGGGGTACCTTATTTGGGGGTCTTTATATTAAGGATCCTATTATTTAGGGTACTACATTAGGGTCCCCTATTTTGGGAAATTCCCACATGAACTATCGGTTTAGGGTTTAGGGTTCAGGGTTTAGGGGTTTAGTCAGGGGCTTTCTACATGAACTATCAGTTTAGGGTTCAGGGTTTAGGGGTTTAGCCAGGGGCTTTCTACATGAACTATCAGTTTAGGGTTTAGAGTTTAGGGGTTTAGTCAGGGGCTTTCTACATGAACTATCAGTTTTTTGAGGGAGCCCTGCGCACT